TACTGTGTGCACACTTGCCTCCTCCCCTTGGCAATAAATTACACATGATATCTCTATACTCTTTGTGTCACACTTGCCTTCTTCCCTTGGTAACAAATGCCATATCCTCTCTCTAAACTCTGTGTGTCACACTTGCCTTCTTCCCTTGGTAACAAATGCCATATCCTCTCTCTAAACTCTGTGTGTCACACTTGCCTTCTTCCCTTGGTAACAAATGCCATATCCTCTCTCTAAACTCTGTGTGTCACACTTGCCTTCTTCCCTTGGTAACAAATGCCATATCCTCTCTCTATGCTCTGTGTGTCACACTTGCCTTCTTCCCTTGGTAACAAATGCCATATCCTCTCTCTAAACTCTGTGTGTCACACTTGCCTTCTTCCCTTGGTAACAAATGCCATATCCTCTCTCTATACTCTGTGTGTCACACTTGCCTTCTTCCCTTGGTAACAAATGCCATATCCTCTCTCTAAACTCTGTGTGTCACACTTGCCTTCTTCCCTTGGTAACAAGTGCCATATCATCTTTCTGAACTCTGTGTGTCACACTTGCCTTCTTCCCTTGGTAACAAATGCCATATCCTCTCTCTAAACTCTGTGTGTCACACTTGCCTTCTTCCCTTGGTAACAAATGCCATATCCTCTCTCTAAACTCTGTGTGTCACACTTGCCTTCTTCCCTTGGTAACAAATGCCATATCCTCTCTCTAAACTCTGTGTGTCACACTTGCCTTCTTCCCTTGGTAACAAATGCCATATCCTCTCTCTAAACTCTGTGTGTCACACTTGCCTTCTTCCCTTGGTAACAAATGCCATATCCTCTCTCTAAACTCTGTGTGTCACACTTGCCTTCTTCCCTTGGTAACAAATGTCATATTACTCTCTAAACTCTGTGTGTCACACTTGCCTAAATCGATTAACAACTTGCATTTTCCAATACACACCTCTTCCTGACAGGTCAAGACAAACGTTGAATCATCTCAGTATGATAGTGTCCCAGCGTCAACACATAACAGCTAGTCATGTGTGCAACATAACCAATAGGTAGAGCTATCTCTTTGTGGTTGTCGATGCCCAGGTACGCAAAGCTAACTTTTGCATTATTGCATTTTCATGCCGAGCAAGAATGACAGCATGACCTTCATCTTGCATTTCACAATTTACCGTTGTACTCGTGTCAAGAGCATCACTAAGAATTAAAAAGAAAGTGTTTCTTTGAAACAAAAGAGATTCACAATGCAATATGGTATGACATGTTTGCCGTAGTCTCCGTAGTGTGCCTGTTTCACAAATTACGCTGTAGAGTGTTTCGGAAAGAGATTTTCACACACAGTTGGAATTTTGATGTTTGGTATTCTCAAAGGCCAGCAGCCACTACACATGAAAGGTTAATCATGAATGAATATTTTGTAGTGGGAGAAACCTAAATTAACTGAAACATTGTGAGCCCATTGCTGTTCTTCGTAGTTGACGACTACTGTGTGGGTTATAGCTCTCCATAATGCTTTGTTTGGAAACACTCCTCAAGTAAGATATGAACACAAGTAGTTTTTAAGATTATATTTGGTACGAACCTGGCATAAGATATCCGGTAATGTTTTTAGTGTGATGGGTAGGAGTTGCAATTAGTGCACAAAAGATTTTCCTAGGGCTTGTATTGCAGCTCATTCTGAGCAATCGGCGGCGAAACTGAGGTTGTGAATATAACCAATCGTTGTGATTAATCTGAGGTTGGCATTTGTACATTCTCTTTGACGATCTCTTACAAATTCACTGAGGTGGCTTCTAATATTAATAGTTTCTTTACCTTTTGCATTTGTTAATAGTTCACAGCCATAGAAGGAAGCTAGTCTTAAGAACCATTCGCTGCCAGATTTTGACAGAGCTAGCAGGGTGGAGGTCAGTGTGATTAACTCCTAGTAGTCTCAGCAAACCTTTACCAATTTCCGGTTTTGCACGAGAGATAATACGATAGGAGAATTCCGTCTCATGTAAGTAAAAGCGACTAAGGTGAGCGTACCCTGCCCCACCGGCGGCACCCGTCACAAGTACATACAGGCATGTCAGTTGTTCAGTTGAAAGAACACGGGAAGATATGGTACAAGTCAAAATAGGGAATTGCATTGGATTTCAAATTTGGAAAGGTCCTCCACATGTCTTCCATTAAATGTTTTGAAAGCTTTACTGAGGCCCTAACACCTTTTGTAACCTTGATCAAACAAATTCTGAGCAAGAGTTGTATGGCACTCTTTGAAATCTTCGTGGAAAGAGCATGTTCGATTGTACCTCAAACTCCAATAACTGCCCCCTGACCAACTCCTTGACCATGAAATCTGTTTATAATCTTTAAAAGCGCTCCATACTAAAATCGAAAATTTACATGAAAGTCCGTATTTTCTTGGGTATTTTACAAAAGGGGTACATGATTACATTCCAACTGTTATCGAAAACATTTTAGTTTCGTAGATGTTTGAACTAAGTCTATCCGCTACTGCTCGATCTCTGAAAACGAATTTATCTTGTGTTGCATTTATTATAATATATGCCCCCTTTTGTCAATTTTTCATGATTTCGCGGCGCTTATTACGTTGAATACGGTAATTGAAATATTCGAAGATTGATTGAAAGGTCAAAACGACCAAGCAGTCGAACGCAATTTGCAGTAATCAAACACAAACTATTTTGCTCCATCTCTCAAGTTCTCAAATGTGCTGATCTTTTACTTAGGTATATTTACTACTTCCTACTTGGTACATTGCAAAAAAAAAGTGAGAGTGGAGCCAATGTCTCGTTTAAAATATAAAGTACCAAAGTAGCTATTTGTGTTTGTTTCAGTGAGGTGTGATTTGCTGAATTTTACTTTGATCAACGGCAAAATGACGCTAACCAATTAATTACAATGATGGATCGGTTGTAACTGTAATCAGTCTGTACAACAAAGTTGTGGTCGCCTCGTTCTTATAGCTGCTCTCACTTCTGATAGTTTTACTAAACCGTTAATATATATCCATAAGAACTTCATCATAAAAGGAAGAAACGTGTCGGGGACGCAACATGTCCCCAAAACACAGTATTTGTAATTGTCATGTGGTCATATATGTCTATGGTGGCTGAGAGGGCACATTGCTTTCTCGCCTTCGATTTACTACCGAGTGAAATCAATATTGCTTTCTCGTCTCGTGTTATTGCTTTTCGCGGTAAAGCATTATCCCCTCTTGGCCATTATAGGAGGCGCATGTGTTATGTGTTTCTTTACGATAAGAAGTATATACGTGAAACACAGCAGTAATTAATTGATCAAGGACACCTTAGTATCATTAAGGAAATGACCATTAAATATACGGATATAAAAGGATGGGGGGTGGGGGTGGGGGTAATGTTGTAGTTTTATTCATTGGGGGATCATAATAACTGTACAGAAACAAGTGATTTAAAAACAATCCACGGATTTCTGCGTTAGAAGTAATTGATTGATTTATGGCCCTATTTGGGAGTTTTATGGGACCAACACTATGTCAGTGCGTGGCGGGTCATGGCAAAACTCTCTAAATAAATCAGGTTAAATTCTAAATATATACTATTCAAGAAGTTAAAGAACATTCTTTCTTATATTTGCGGGTGTTCTTCAACTTTTTTTAGTAGTGAGCATAAAACTAGTAACTCCCATGAAAGGGGCAAATAAGTTTCGCAAAAAATCGCAATTTATCCTTAGACTTTCTCTGGAGTTTTTACGAAAAAAAAGTAAAAGTAAAATACTTTCCTGTTGTAGTGTATGTGAATCATGCTACACTACAAGAAAGTAAATACATGCATGTATGCAAACTAAACGATACAGCAGTCTGTATCTGGATCTAACAAATATATCCACAACAAAATGTTGAAAAGTTCTAGGTTTAAAAGGCAAAATAGCGATGAAAATTATAGGAATGGATAGCTGAATATCTGCAAAACTCTTTTTAATGTACGGCATTATGGGAAATATTGCTTTCTCGCTCTATCGCTTTCTCACTCTATCGTTTTATCACTTTCTCGTATCGTCCTATCGATTTTTCGCTTTCTTGTAGTGAGTGAGTATGGTTTTCGCCGCTTTTAGCAATATTCCAGCAATATTACGGCGGGGGACACCAGAAATGGGCTTCACACATTGTACCCATGTCGGGAATCGAACCCGGGTCTTCGGCGTGACGAGCGAACGCTTTAACCACTAAGCTACCCGACCGCCCCCGCTTTCTTGTATCGTTCTACCGTTCTATCGTTTTCTCGTCTGGTCTGGAACATAAATTGTGTAAATGTAGAATTACAATACTCAAATACAGTATGGAACAAAATGTATACATATTGTACATATACAGCACCGTCATAATGCTAAGAAAGGGGACTGAAATTAGAAAAACACGGGAGGCCACAAAGGATGAAATCTTTCAACCATGATTGTGACTGTATCGATTCTGTTTGTGGAACCGGATATATTGGAAAATTGCATGCAAATCGCGTAGTAGTGTTTCGTCAAAAGCGATTCATGAGGCTACTATATGTACGTGAACGTATGTTAAAAGCTTTTAAGTATGAATCGATATACGTATGTATACATATCTCTCTGGAACGCCTCCGTGGTTCAGTGGATAGAGTGTCTGCCCAGGGAGCGGGAGTCGGCTGTTCGATTCCCGGTCGAGTTATACCGAAATACGTAAACACGTTAAAAGGTGTACTAATATAATTATATGGTCTCTGGTCTGAGTCAAGAAACTGTATATTTCATGGCAAAAATATATTCCCACCCACAACAAACACGGGTCATAGCCCGTTCGCGGAGTTCTCCATATAACCGGGAATGTAACGAAGGTGTCACGCCCTGGGGTGGAGCATAGCTCATCATACGACTTTTATTCAATCAAAGAATGTGTAAGCACATTTCAAAGGCGAAACCAATTGTTGATACTAGCTTCACTACAGCACGTGTTCACTTCGTTCGCTGCGTGGAGCTTATCAATGACTCGTACGGACGCAGACGAACGTTACCGGAGACAAGGGTATTCCCCTGTGAGGAACGTGGGAGAAGGAGGCGGTGATCGAGACACGGACAGCAATCGTTTGAAGTTTATCTGTCAATGCTGGGCACTGGTGAGTATAACGTCATTTTACTTCAACACTTGTCCTTTAAGAAGATGTTCTTCTGTATCCACCACTTCTACACCACGTAATGAAACCAGTGGCTTGTTTCACTTTCAGTTTGAGGAAAGGTGTGATTAATATAGAATACTAAACGAGCTCCCGTGTAATACCAGTTTTATGAAACGAGTGAATAGTTCAGGTATCTGACGAGCGAAAGCGAGTCAGATACCATAACTATTCACGAGTTTCATAAAATTGGTTTTACAAGGGAGCGAGTTTAGTATTTTATTTATTACTGGCCATTTATAACGTTTTTAGAATTATACTGTTGAGTGTGAATAGGCTGACACCTACACGATCCACGGCATAATCCAACTGAGTTTAACACAGTAATACTTCAAACACGTCAAAAGTTGAAACGTATGAATTTAATACCATCCAACGGTCCACCTTTAGAATTCAGGCGTCCGTTCCACAAAATTATCGTAGCGTTAAGGTTATCGCAACTCATATACTTTAACTTAGACCAACTAAACGAATGTCGTTGCGCTACCGTACGATCGCCTTGTGGAACGGGGCCTTGCACCTCAAAGTTCACAATCACATCACAATACCCGATGACGTAATTTGTGGAATTTTGTTGCAAGATCCTTCGGCGAAACAATGCCATGTGACGTCAACCTAGCAACAAGGTTGCTGGGGTCATCCAGTGTGCATAAGCTCCTCTCAGTGATCTATTATCTCCACACGCAATGTCGTTGAATAAGCCAAGGGATGTTGAGAGCTTTCAATATTTGTTCGTGAAACGTGTTCCGAGAGTACATAAGCACGCGTTTTGCTATTACACAATGTGTAATACAGCTGTATGTTTATTAAACGGGTGATCTCTTCACGGGCAAGTAATAATTACTTTTTTTCTACTTAGTACGATCGATTACGACAACTGCATACTATTCACATTCTAACCGAATAACTCCAACAATAACCAGACAAATTAACTATACAAAGTAGCACAAAACTATGGCATAGTGTGACTATATATCGCGTTATCGGTAAATCTCGTAATCCACACACCCTGTTGACTGTTTACAAAACTAAGCACGATATGTCATCGCTTGATCGAATACAGGGTCCACTTGCACAGAACAATCTTAGTTACAAGCCTACAATCAACTTTAAAATTACCATCCAATTGTCGTATTCCACGTGCACAAACCGATCTTAGCGCGATTGTAAGACAGCTTGGATTTAAGATCGCGATCTTAAGGGGCACTGATCTAAAGCAATTCCCCGGGACTGGTTGTTGCCTTTGTTATAGTTTTTCCCCATGAGTACCCGGATGATACAGTAGAAATCTAGACTAGTTCGCGACCTGTGCTGCGCAATTCGTAAGCGCATTTGCCACTTTTATTGAAAGTATAACGGCGTATGGTCACATTGATCAATAAAATGAAATACAGTTTTGGAAATAAAAAGGAAATGTAGGTATCTTTGTGGGTAGCATCGGTAATAATGACGAAGTTTTGATAAGTCACTTGCTTGGTAATTGTGCGATTTTCGTTTGCACTATTTTGACTTGCAACACAAAGTAAATATTTCTCTTGAGTATTGCTTATTTTATCGTTGTTCATATTTTTACAGTCAAAATGTGCAAAATTTTCACCAAGGAAATTTATCATGTTTATTAAACGCCTAGATCTAAATATTCAGTTATTTTTCAAATTGACTGAAAAATATGTCCATCTGTATTATTATAAAACAAATTCCAAAGATTTTTATGTTTAATATCATCACCAAGAGACTGTAAATGTTACGATGAAAAGTACATTTCTATATTGTTTGGCTTCTAATCCAATCTATAATAATCAATTGAGATGTTTTTAGGCCCTTTTGATCGTCTTAATCAATTTTAGTCAATCTGTTAAAGAAATGGACAGATTTTTCAGTCAAAATGACTGAAATATTTACACATTTTTTTAATTGCCTGAGAGAATAACATTTTACAAATTGACTGTAATATATACATGCTTACAAAAAAAAAGACTTGTTAAAACAACGTCTATTCCCAACCAAGACGTAGAGGAACAAGAATGAATCTGTTCAATGCTACAGCAAATGAATGAAAACAAAAGGCAAACATCATAATTATAACCTACCAAATTTATGTGTATAATTTTAGGCAGCTTCCTTGTTCGAGGAATATATCCGTGAATATCCACACAAAGGTACAATATCCCACACGTCTGCAGCTGTACAAAGAAACTTATTGGATGTCACGTGTCTCTGTAACAATCAAATATTTTAAAATATATATATCGTTTCGGGGTATTATAACCCGTGTTTGTTTCTCAACTGATCACTTAGATTGTTTCAGGTGTTTCACATAGGTGTCAAGTCTGAAAGGTCGGCTGAGAAAGCCCACGTGACAACTATTTTCATAACGTCCACGGTTCCTAAAAAAATCCATTAGATAACAATGAGCAATCAATCAACGTATTATCGGTTAACCCTTTGAACAAAGTATGTTGTTTTTACATCGGCACTTCACGCCATGATATGAGTGTATGCCCTTTGTTTTAGTAAACCTAGACATGTAAACACTCACTTTTGACATATCCACCATGCAAGATAACAGTGATTAATCAATCAACGTATTTTCTGTTTATCCGTTGATGACAAGGAACGATCCATTGATTCACAAAAAAGTAAATCAACTGATCATTCATCTCTTGCTGGGCTGCCACGTGCATATTACATAACACACATTTCACCTCAATTCAAACCTGTATTTAGATTGAATAATTACCCCAGACACAATAAATGGCAAATGTCAGGTAATCTGAGTGGTGCTACCACTAATTATACCAATAATGAATTCATTAACTGAGCATCAAGTGAACGACGACAAATACACAAGTGTAGGGTTATACCAGAAAACGTGGATGACAACAAGGGAGTAGTAATCATATTATCGAGGCAGTCCGAAATCCGAAAATGCTTTCACTGCATGGATGCTTTTTTTATGATTAAACTATAACCATCTGGGGTATTTCCAAATGGCAACATCCGATGAGATCCACCGTTCTTTTTGTCTGTTTGTTTAGGCTGAAGAAATTAATTAACATCTTTATAGATATCTTTATAGATCATGGTTAACCGATCTGTGATCCAAAATATGTAAAACAAATATTGCCCCCAAGTTTATTTAGCTGTCCTTGCAAGACGGTAGCCCAGTCTCTTGTCACGCTCAGTTGCATTGCATATCATCCGGGTACTCACGGGGAAAAAACAATAACAAAGGCAACAACCAGTCCCGGGGAATTGCTTTAGATTAGTGCCCCTTTAACTAAGATTGAAATCTTCAATGGTGGAGATACAAATATCTTAAACTAGACTCCTGTCTACGGTTGTCTGCAAAAGCGCAAATCTTGCTGCGCATACAACGTGTGGAACCGGTTACAACATACAACACGTACCTCCCTCCATCTCACCTTGCACAGTTGAAAGGTCCCAATTATTTGAAGGAAACTATAACTAGAATGTTGGCATTTTTGACGATTGTAGCCAAAGCTTAAGATCGCAATCTTAAGGATTTACAATAATTGCAGCGGGTCCACTTGCACAAAGCAATCTTAGCACTACAATTATTGTAAATCCTTAAGAACACGATCTTAGGCTACAATTGCCATCCACTTGCACAAAGCGATTGTAGGCTAAGATCATTGTAAGCTACAATGGAAACTTACAATTGATCCGGACCAATCGTAAGTAGCTAAGAATCGTTGTAGTCCCTGACAAAATGGCGTGCAAGACAGGGATTGTTTCACATTGATAATCTGCTTTACGTTCAAACACTGCCTCTTTTTTTTTGTTAAATTTTATGATTCGAATCGCTACTTCAACAACACGGAGACCGCACCACAGATTTAACATCAGAAATATCGTTTATTGCGATAGTGAATCACATAACTATCGAGTCGATAGCTAAAAGTTCTATTCCCGCCCGTCTCAATGCTGAAGGAAGTCTGAAACAACATACCTTATCAAGGGAAGGATAAAACCAGAGACCATCTATCATATGGTCTCTGATAAAACCTAGGTCGTCTGCAAGCAATTTGTAACATCAGTGACCCTTTAGATAAATCAAGGGCAGCTAATCATAGTTTATACTCTAGATGGGAGTGGTTTCCCTTTGTATAGGTATCATAGAATCTATCTTGCCCAGTGTATTAATGTTGTAGAACGGCCGAGCTCCCCTTGTATCCCTTTTGGGTCACATTCGTGTCAGTTATTTTGTCTTTAGGTTATCATTAAATTAATCTACAAGTAAACACAATTTGAAGTGCAAAATCATACGTTTAAATGTAACATATAATATGTCATGTAATATCTGAATTTATAAGAAACTAATACAAATATTCATCAAACAAGCAAATACACATGATGAGACATTTGAAATTTGTGAAAAATATCCCATATATAGCAAAAGTAAAATTCACACTTTTAAAAAAATATAATTAATACCCAGTGGATATATATTAAAGAACTGCTTTCTTGAAACATTATTCATTATTTTTATTTCCCGTACATGTTTTCTTGTAATCTCCCATATTTACGATTTTACGGAAAGCTCCCCCAAATAGATGACGATCATACATTTACCTGTTATGTTATTAGGACATATTATTATTTTCTATTTTTATTTTCATAATAAGTATATCACTAAATCTATATGCCAACACTAGCTTTGGCTACAATCGTCAAAAATGCCAACATTCTAGTTATAGTTTCCTTCAAATAATTGGGACCTTTCAACTGTGCAAGGTGAGATGGAGGGAGGTACATGTTGTATGTCGTCACCTTTTACACACATTGTATGAGATTTGCGCGTTTGCAGACAACCGTAGACAGGAGTCTAGTTTAAGATATTCGTACCTTCACCATTAAAGATTTCAATCTTAGTAAAATCGCGATCTTAAATCCAAGCCGTCTTACAATCACGTTAAGATGGGTTTGTGCAAGTGGAATGTACATCTTCCCAAGGCAAGAGAGTTAACTGACTTTAAAAGTCCAGTTTCCACCCTTGCCGAACTAGGCTGGTATTATAGAGTTACATTTTGGCTGGACTAACGAGTCTATGCATAGTCCAATACAAAATCGCGCACCGAAATCGAAATCCGGTCGTAAACTGTCGTGCAGATTTCGTTTGATTGCAGGATTTGCAAAGCCTGTGCACCGCCAACTCCCTGTCAGCAGATATTTTCCAAATCTTTTCATGTTTTTATTCAAGGTGCTCACGTGATTTGATACATTTTGCGATGTAAGACCCGTTTTATCACAATATAGATCTTTATTATCGATCAGATCGTCGTGACAGACCACCATTTTGTGCGAAGCAAACGCAACTGATACGAGAGGTGGAATCTGATTGGTCCATAGGAGAGGCTTAGAAGGGACATCACTCGAAATAGCCACTGGTGGCGCTACGATCGAGCCCAGTAATTCCAGCCTAGTTTGGCAAGGGTGGAAACTGGACTTTTAAAGTCACTTAACTCTCTTGCCTCGGGATGATGGTGGAATAGGACAATTGTGTGGTAATAGTAAAGTTGATTGTAGCCGCCTAAGATCGATTGTAACTAAGATTGTTCTGTGCAAGTGGGCACAGGACTCGTTGCGGTACGTCACGGCTACTCGTAAGTGTACATGTTAACTTTTTTAAGATAGTTTCTGGAATGTTGTTGAAGTGGCATTTCCTACCTCCAATTGAAATTGATTACAAAAGAATACATTTGTTTAGACGAAGTCCCTTGACCTAACCTAGGTCGTATGCATTACTGATTATGCATAATCCAAAACAGGTAGGGATGTAAACAAGATCATCCACACGTATCACACCACAAAATAGCCATACCGTGATAATATAGTTGCCCGCCCTTGGGTCGCTAATGACAGGTACTTTGTTTACCGAACATGGTATAGAATATCAGCATCGACCAATCCTAATTAATGTGTCAAAAACATTTAACAAAAAACAAGAAACATTTTGCGTATGACACATTTAATGGATCTGAAAGCGTGCGCCATTACAATCTATTATAAATGAACTACCGCGATAATATAGCGTACCATCCTTCATAATGCATTTTGTGCTGATAATTTGTCACAAAGAAGTACCACGATTTAGTATATACTTCAGTGTGAAAGACCGGGTTTTCCGAATTTGGGAAAAGTGATATTTTCATTTCAGCGAATATAACCCTTGATATTTCACTGCAGTGAACATAACACCTTGACGGAACTATTGTCATACAATAATTACCTCCCCTCAAATTGTGTCCTTTTATCGTAAGTGCCTCCCTCAGGGTTTATAGCGAAAACAGCACCGGGCGAAAACGGCACCGATTGGCAAAAACAGCACCTCGACTCAAGCGAAAACGGCTACTATTGCCTGGCAAAAATGACACCTTTTTTTTTACCTTGGTCAAATAAGTGATATTTAACTTACATGGTAACTTGCAAACACCAATAATTGTGAGATGTTAAAACAAGTTTATATTAGAAATTAGCCTCTACTCCAACTATAATCCAACTTAGCTTATACGCAACTCAATTTATTGTGAAAAAATAACATGCTTTGAAGAAAAATAATAGAAATTAAACTCACACCGTCTCTTACAAACACACATAACTGTGAAATTGTGAAATAAAACAAGAAAGAAATTAGACCCCTACTCCAATTTACTCGCCGACTCTGATTGGGAGGTGCAGTTAACTTATTTTGAAAACACTATACGCTTGTAGCGACCAGAACTAGGATACAACTGTAGCGACCAGAAGTGGGATACGACCAGAACTGGACTAAAAACAGTCCACAATTTTGTAAAACCCCATTTACTGCGATAATGCTTTCGGTTAGCTCTAAAACATATGGCGATATATATGCGGAATATGATTTAGTTTATGTTATTTTGGGGGACCATACTGAACATGATCTTTTGTATATTTTCATGTTTCGTGTCAGTCAGTGTTTTTTGTTGTAGTTGACAAGGAAGTTTGTAGTAACGTGTTTAACTAACTGCAGTTTTATGAGGATACCTGGACTGCTCAGTGTTATGTATGGAAAGTTAGGTGTGGCAGGTTAGTGAATTTTCCTAGTTAGATTATGAACACTGAATGACAATGCGTAATAAGGAAACATATGTGATTGATTATTACTTAATAATGTTCTGGCCTGTTTGACAATATGAGGAAGTGAATAAACGAAATATGTATCCTTACGTTTTTTGTTCCTTGTTGGTCTGCAGCAATAATTGCGGCATGAAATTATTGTGAGTGTGTGTCGCTTGTAATTTTTCCTTCTTGCAGAACTTGCCAGAATTACAGTATTTGAAAGGCTGAACTTCCTCATAAATAACATCTATGTAAAATGTGGGGTTAAGACATTTATCTATTTTGTAGGAAAACACTGTGTTCAGAAGTGGTCAAGATAGCTATTTAACAGAAAATTTACTGTTATTAAACATGTCACCACCTCACGAAGGTTATGATATGATAGACAATCAAATAATACATTTGGGAGTGATATCATGGTTAGAAAAAAACAACATGCTGTATCATGTGATAACTGTGCCCATGTAAATAAACCATATATATTACTACAAAAATCGTTCTTAAAATTATTAAAAGTAGAGGTGACGTTTTCGCCCGACACATAGTAGCCGTTTTCGCCAAATGCGGTGTCTTTTCGCCAGAGATATCGGTGACGTTTTGCTGAGGTGACGTTTTAGCCATCTCAAACTGTTGACTTCCTTTTTACATTAGTTCCGCCATGATAAGGCAAAATAAAGACAGATTGTCATTATGGAGTAAATATCGCTTCATATGCCATTTGTTATTCTCTTGAAAATGTTTTGTCACTTTTGTTTATATTTTTAAGATTTTGCAAACTCTCAACTTCTTCTTATACAAGGGGTGGTGAACCGTCCATGTGTGTTACTTTTGGAGAATTTGCGTTTCAAGATATTACGTTTGTAATGTAAGAATTTAATTTTCCGGTAGATAACTACACAAAAAGTATATATTAAATGGGATATTCCATGGGCATTTGTTGGGCTAGTTTCCCACTTTGATATCCAGGAGTTATCTCCCTTTATTCTCTACCACTTTGAAAGGGACAGTTTAAATTACTTTTTACCTTTAAAACTCATCATTAGGATTGGGGCAAGAATATAGGTCCCTAGCAACCTTGCTTGTTGTAAGAGGCTACTATATGTAACGTATGGTCAGACTCGGAAAGTTGGCTGCTGCATGTCAGTGTATCTCAGATGCGTGGATCGATGTTCAGACTCGTTTGCTTACTGACTGTTAACTTTACAACAAACAATGAGTAATTCTTGTCATTTCAATTCAGCTAAATATAAAGAAACATGCGTACATTGCCAATACCACTAAATATGTGCTGACCTGACATAGATCTACTTGAATATAACTTCTGCAAGGAAGTAAACATTTTATATAACACAAGGTAACAAGTTGATGTTATATCTATGGACGAAAATCCACCTGCATATACAAGTGTGCAGATCGTAGTGCATGTAAGCTGTCTGTCGGTCGGTCTGTCTGTCTGTCTGTTTGTCACACACACTTACACACACAGGGCTCTCATTCAGTTTCTGGTTACAGAAGGTCTTAGTAGTAAAGTTGGTAGATTTGCAAAATAATATCTCATTCCTCTTCATAATTTAGATTTCCTCTGGTGGGATGGAAGGGAAAAGGAAGAGGAGCGATGAAGATGAAGATGAAAAATCTGTACAGAAGCAGGCCAGATCAAGACAAGACAGTTAAGACAAGAGTCAATTATACCTATAGAGGCTACCTGTTTGCATTGCATTTATTATTACTAACATGCTACATCTACAGATGTAGAAAGAATATTGAAAGAGTATATTGTGCTAGGTTTAGATCTGTTAGCAGCTGCAGTTTGTTGATGATTATCTGTTGATGTTCATCCATTAACAAACAATTGAAATGTGTGTACAAGTGTATTTGATGTGTGTGTCTCGACTACAGGAATTCATCAGTTGTTAGATTTATAACCTTGGCAAACAAAGTACCTGGCTACATAAGTGTACATATAATAATGCCCTTTCTTGTAGCTAGCTACATAAGTGTACACATAATAATGCCCTATCTTGTACCTGGCTACATAAGTGTACATATAATAGTGCCCTATCTTGCAGCTGGCTACATCAGTGTACATATAATAATGCCCTATCTTGTACCTGGCTACATGACCGCCGTCATATAGCTGGAATATTGCTGAGTGTGGCGTAAAACAACAAACCAACCAACAAACCAACCTGGCTATAATAGTGTACATATAATAATGCCTTATATTGTAGCTGGCTACATAAATGTCCATACAGTGGAACCTCGTTGTGTCAAACTTTGACGTTTCAAATTCTCAGTTGTCTTGAACTCTCCTTCCGGCCCCTGTGAGTTCCGTCTATATTTATCATCTATTATTGTTGGATCTATCGAACTGGATGTGCAGCGTTAGAAATTGTCACTTAGTCCTATAGTCCTTGCCAAACTGCCCAAATAGTTAAGGTTTCATAAGGACCAGTAGCAATTTGCCATTTTTAAGGGTTTTGCTCTATGTTATCATTAAAATAATGAGTTGCCACCCCCTACACCACCACCAGCTCGGACACTGAAATTTACGTACAACTTAAAATCTAGTGTTGCGTTCGAACATGGTAAAAATCTCATAAGATGTTCGGTTTCACTTTGTATTGTTGCCACAAGCCCCGGATAATTCAACCTTTTTTCCAGGCCCCATAAGTTCTACACAAACATGTTTCAAAACTTCACATATTAATAAACTTATTAATGAAGATAATGGCATTGAGGTATCTCTTTGATTCTACAATTACACATATAAAGATAGATTTCCTTAATTCATTTTATGTCCTGCCTTGGTTTCAGTTACTGGTATGACAGGAGGAAAGGCCAAGAATTGTATCGTAATTGGGCAAAATAATCGTAAGTAAATTTCTGCAAAGTGAATGATAAGGATGTCATGTATATATAGCAACATCGTAAGACATTTTTTTATTGGTTTGTTTGCGGATTTATGTTGGACCCCCCCCCCCCAAACCACTTCAATTATTCTTTTGCCTTTTGCCTTTTGTTAAAACATATATGTAGGTTTTGAAAAGATATAAATTTTGATTGCCCTGTCTTACATATTTCATTATATCTTTTTTTTGCATTGCACAGGAAACGTGTCATGGCATAGGCTCACCATTTTTTTAAATAGTATAATGATCAAGATAAAGTATGTATAACTTGTTCAATGCGCTTACGTGCTAATGGGTAAACTATTTGTTTACAGACAATATAACACCAGCTTTTCTTTATTTGCAGAAACATGCCATCATTTTCAAGATCTTATTTGTGAGTACTTTTTGAATTCCTTTGTTCAACAAGTCAGGTTAAATTGTGTTCTTTTGTACAAAGGATGAATAATCAACAAATAATGTACATCGAGAAATCGACCCGTGAAGATCCAGGGTAAAATACGTCTTCAGCAACTTATGCAACTTAAAAAACAACTATGCTTGTCGTAAGAGGCAACTAACAGGACCAGGTGGTCAGGCTCGCTGACTTGGTTAATGCATGTCATAGTATCCCAATTGCGTGGATCGATGCTCATGATGTCAATCACTGGATTGTCTGGACTCGATTATTTACAGATTGCCGTCATATAGCTGGAATATTGCTGAGTGCGGCGTTAAACAAACAAACAAACAAACATCAAGAAATCAATAGCTGTCACATATGATGATCAATCACAAGATAAATGGAATGATTCAGCACTTTCATGGGGTCTCGATAATATGGATAGTAGAGAAATCATTCATAATTTTGCTTGCAAATGTTTTTAGGTGTGAAATCTTCTACTTCCAATCGTTTTGTACTTGAAGACTGCAATAGGTTCCCTCTGTTTAATTTTGAATTTGAGCATTGTGTTAATGTAATAGCCAGGAATGTGGGCTGATGTGGTAAAACATGATGCAGGCCAGGGTGTGAGCTCTGTTTATTTGTGTTGCTGATGACAAACGACACCCTATAACAATGAATGCAATAATAAACATGCCATTGCATGATACACAAAAAAAACAAAGCAGATTAAATATTAACCTACTACACATATAATATGTTCATGATATAAAATACTACAATCATAAGCCAAGGTACAATATTTAAATTGTTACATTTACACATATTTTATAAACAATCTCATTAAAATCAGATCTAGGTCCTCGCTGCCGCCTAACAAAGATCTGAGGACATCCCATTACAGGTCATGTCAGAATGAACTTTCGCGAACTTTGACCAACCACTGAAGCAACTAACAAGAAGTCGACATCAGCCAATTAGAAAGCAGAATTCTCGAGCTTTATGGCCCTCATTTCAATCTGGCGACTTCTATTTCATAGTATGCTTGAAAAATATGTTGACACAGTTCTCGATTAAAATTTAGAAAACGGAACACACGAACATTCAGGAAAGTGAGAGATAGACGATAATTTGACGGAATTAGTCGGACTGTTGTTTGGAATACCCCGTGTTAACATTTTCGAGGTTGCATGATTAGAAAGCACATTCCCACTGTCAATTTCATGATCTGGTAAGCGACGCTTTGATTGGTTGGATGAAAGGTCGTTCTGATGTGTACCTGTAATGGGATGTCTTCAGATCTTTTGTTTAGCGATAGTGAGAACTAAGATCTGATTTTAATGAGATTAATAAGATAAATATAGTACAATGAACTTGGGGCTGACTCGTTAATTAATTATGATTTGGAATAGTTATTATCATAGGAAGAGGAGGAGTAAACCTGGGCATTGAGAGAGTAAGTGGGTTAGGTAACCCTGGAGAGTAGTGTCCTGGGATAGCTACGACCTGGACTGTTTTTAAATGAGGTTTACTCTCCTATGAGCTGTGGCCAAAGCCCAGACGAGGTTGTGATTAATATTGAGTATTATAGCATCCGAGTAGTAGAGGTTACAGAAAATATGATATGATAATTTATAATGATAACATAAGTTATGGATGTATGGCGTGAAATGACATTACACCAAAATTATTAAGTAAGGAAAGGCTTGAGAATGGATTATAAAGGTGGCTGGGTTGGATGGAATACCGTATTCGACGTAATAAGCGCCCAGGGTGCTCTCAAAATTAGAAATAGGGGGCTCTTATTAGAATATTATTTTGGTGAAAAAAAACAAAGCTAAATTTCGTGGTTTATGCTGACAGCCTGAAATGTTTATGTACTACAGATATATGCTTCCAGAATTTAACTGCCAATAATTAAGGGTGTATATAACACACGAGTGCGTATTATAAGCGAAAAAGGGGAAGGAAGCTGTGCATATTATATGCGAATAGGGGTCAGAAGGGGTGCTAATTGGGATTGTTCACTAGCCAATATATCAGCAAACCTCGCCGTGGGCGCTTATTAAGGCGAATACGGTAATATGACAGGCGATACAATAGACTTAGCTAATGGGAATGGTAGGAAAATTGGAAGTACGTGAATGGAACAGAGCTGATGATGAAGAATATAGAGTAAAGAGAACAATGTTTATGGGGAGGAACAGCGCGCATGATGAAGATTATTTAGGTATGAATTTAATAAAGCGGCTTGGAAGTGGATGACTTACTAGACTGAGCTTACAAAAGTAGTATTTGTAGGTATACACATGGAGGTTGTTAGCATGATTAATGTACACAAGGTTAAAAGGTATAAAGATAAAACATGGAAATATGAGCTACCAGTTGCACAAAAAATTAAAATTTGATACAGAGAATAGAAGTTCATGCATGCTTTGAACGATGTGAACTCGAAAATCTCCTTGGGGTGTCAGATAAGGCAAGCTTCCTATCACATGGTACACATGCTTCTTCAGTAAGGACAGTCACAGCTTTAGGGTCACTGGAAGTGCAGACCTGAGTGTCTAACTGAACATCTCGGTGAAACATACGACATAACATCATTGGTCTGAAAGCATACATACAACATATGAGTTCTCACATACGGGCTGGTCAAAAAGCTCAAAGCCTGACTAACTGTCAACTATGGGCCACAGTAATATGAACTAGTCAATGTAGTACATTGTTTGAGTAGTTCATTGCAAGTGACAGCCAGTTGAACGTGATAGGGGTCCAAATAGACAGAGAAATGGAAAAGGATGAGTACCATGGAGTCATCATTTGTTTTACTTGAAAGAAAAGTACTCCGTCAAGAAATTCATGACAGCATGTCACAAGTGTATGGGGATACGTACCCTAGCTATTCTACTGTTATAATTGGGCTACTACGTTTAAGGCTGGGAGAACAAGCCTTGATGATGACCCTAGGTCTGGACGTCCCTCAATTTCCATAAATGAAGAGATAGAAAAATTTATACTGTCAGATAGACGTATTACCATCGCTGATCTTTAGGAAGACACAGGTCTAAGCCATGGATCCACTGACTATTATTCATGAACATTTACAGATGAATAAGATATCTGCTCGTTGGTTGCCAACCTTTCTAAATACTGATCTTAAGGAAAAAAGGACTGACATTGCCAGGGAAACTTTAGACCTAATTGAGGAGGATTTCGTCAAATTCAAAAAGAGATTAGTAACGGGTGATGAAACATGGGTCTACCACTATGATCCCGAATCAAGACGTCCATCCATGGAATGGCACCATTCCACTTCTCCGGGACCAAAGAGAGATTCTATCAAAGAAAAACTGCGAGCAATGCTGACTGCTGGAGTTCTACTACTTCATGACATCTCCTCTTCTCACTCCTCTCAACTTGCAAAGGCTGCTGTGCGACATGTAGACAAGAGCTTCCTCACCATCCATACTCGCCAGACCTCACACCAAGTGATTTCCACCTGTTTCCTAAAGCGCTATGACAATGACGATGACCTCAAAGCTGCCGTGAATGGGTTTTTCAGGGTGTCCTCAGAAAACTTCTTCCTGACTGGAATTGAAAATATTCACCATCGATATGAGAAGTGTATTGAAAAGCAGGGAGATTATTGTGTACATGTTGTACATGGCCACATCTTGAATGTACTGGTACCACAGTCGTCATGGTGTACATGACCACATCCTGAATGTACTGGTACCACAGTCGTCATGATGTACATGACCACATCCTGAATGTACTGGTACCACAGATGTCATAGTGTACATGACCACATCCTGAATGTACTGGTACCACAGTCGTTATGGTGTACATGACCACATCCTGAATGTACTGGTACCACAGATGTCATAGTGTACATGACCACATCCTGAATGTACTGGTACCACAGTCGTTATGGTGTACATGACCACATCCTGAATGTACTGGTACCACAGTCATTATGGTGTACATGACCACATCCTGAATGTACTGGTACCACAGATGTCATAGTGTACATGACCACATCCTGAATGTACTGGTACCACAGTCGTTATGGTGTACATGACCACATCCTGAATGTACTGGTACCACAGTCGTTATGGTGTACATGACCACATCCTGAATGTACTGGTACCACAGTCGTTATGGTGTACATAACCACATCCTGTATGTACTGGTACCACAGTCGTTATGGTGTACATGACCACATCCTGAATGTACTGGTACCACAGTCGTTATGGTGTACATGACCACATCCTGTATGTACTGGTACCACAGTCGTTATGGTGTACATGACCACATCCTGAATGTACTGGTACCACAGTCGTTATGGTGTACATGACCACATCCTGAATGTACTGGTACCACAGATGTCATAGTGTACATGACCACATCCTGAATGTACTGGTACCACAGTCGTTATGTTGTACATGGCGACATCCTGAATGTACTGGTACCACAGTCGTCATGATGTACATGACCACATCCTGAATGTACTGGTACTACAGTCGTTATGGTGTACATGACCACATCCTGAATGAACTGGTACCACAGTCTTTATGGTGTACATGACCACATCCTGAATGTACTGGTACCACAGTCGTTATGGTGTACATGACCACATCCTGAATGTACTGGTACCACAGTCGTTATGGTGTACATGACCACATCCTGAATGTACTGGTACCACAGATGTCATAGTGTACATGACCACATCCTGAATGTACTGGTACCACAGTCATTATGGTGTACATGACCACATCCTGAAAGTACTGGTACCACAGTCGTTATGGTGTACATGACCACATCCTGTATGTACTGGTACCACAGTCGTTATGGTGTACATGACCACATCCTGAATGTACTGGTACCACAGTCGTTATGGTGTACATGACCACATCTTGAATGTACTGGTACCACAGTCGTTATGGTGTACATGACCACATCCTGAATGTACTGGTACCACAGTCGTTATGGTGTACATGACCACATCCTGAATGTACTGGTACCACAGTCGTCATGATGTACATGACCACATCCTGAATGTGCTGGTACCACAGTCGTTATGGTGTACATGACCACATCCTGAATGTACTGGTACCACAGTCGTCATGATGTACATGACCACATCCTGAATGTACTGGTACCACAGATGTCATAGTGTACATGACCACATCCTGAATGTACTGGTACCACAGTCATTATGGTGTACATGACCACATCCTGAATGTACTGGTACCACAGATGTCAAGGTTTTAATCATGTGGTCTTCGATTCTGGCTTCGGCTGCTGGAGTTACGGCTCTGATCATAAAGGAATAGCCGGAATACATGAGTGTTTTGTATCCTGCTCTTCACAGGACGATTCCTAATTACTCAAGGAACAAAAGGCCTCAGTCAAGGGTGTGGAAGTTTGCTCTTTGTGATCTTTGATAAGTAACTGGTTTTGTGCGTAGCAAATAAAACCACATCGACACCTTTGCAGTATGGGTCAGTCTTGGATGATTTTAATCGTAGGGTGTAGTTTGTTGATGTGATCCATGGTGTCTGTTCAAGACTAAGCCACATGTGAATTAGATATGATACTGTAGGTGATAGGCAGGCATATACAACCACTTGGAACTTGTAATCTTTTATACACTTAGGAGTGTTTAGATCCTAGCAAAGGCAGTAGGATTGTGTTTTTTGAAGCATCATTATGCCTGCCAAATAGTTCGTAAAAGTTAGAGCCTTGAGTAGTGTATGCCAGGAAGCATTGGATAAACTTCTCGATGATGGGTATACCCTTTTCGAAACCTCTGTGTTGACCAATTCTGTGACACTGGCTGGTTCTTTAGTAGCACTGAGATTGTTCATGCAAGCGACATTAGTGTTAGGGTATTCCTGAAATTCTGGATGAAATCCTGATTTAAGGCCTGTGATAACAAAGTAACTATATTCAATTCTTCGGCAAAGGTCTCTATATTAATAGGAGTAAGTGTTATCTATGAGATTCCAAGTCGTTTATCCTATTTGGTTTTGTTGCAGCTTGATTGGCTGTGTTTGCCATTGCATCGCAGGAAGACATGTGCAATGTGGCATTGTAGATGGGTATCTCCTCTGTCATTAAAGTTATTACAGTTATTGCCTCACACATAACCTGCCATAAGTGTCATTTGTTGGTAGAGTTGGTTTCTGCCGTGTATATTCTTGTCCTCTACCCAGGGTAGGTTTGACTGAGCTCAAGTTGTTTGGACAAAACGTCTGTGCTATGTTGCAGATGGTACAGACCTTAGCCTTCAGCCCAGATGTGTATATTGACCAGATGCGGATCTTTCTCCTCCCATGTTATTATTTGTCCCTTCTCGAAGTAGGCAGCAACATGTTTAGCAAACATTACCTGATAGTTAAAGAAAACAGGGCAAGGATAAAGTTTGGCTAAGTCCAGGCATATCCTCTAATGCTTGTCCATATCAGCCATCAGTCCTGTTTCACAATAACATGTCCTGTAAATATCAAAGGCTTCCAGAAATTCATAAATGCGGAGAGAAGCCTTTTCTGTTTGGAATGCTTTGGTGTGACAAATTCTCTGTTAACCTCTGTTTGTTTCTCTCTCTCATCATGCGCTAGGTAGCTGGGTTTACGTATTTCCCCTTCTTGATTCTTCTAATAATAACTTGGGAAATAGGGTCGATATATGGAAGATTGTTTAAAGACGCTTGTTTGCCTGGCTGGTAGTTATCCTGTGCACTAAACTCTGGAATTCATAACTTTCTTTTGCCTTGAACACCTGTGTGAACACCTGGGACTGGATTGTTCTCTGGATTCTGTATATGGGCCAGTCTGTTGATGGATGGGCTCACTGACCAGTTCCTTGAGTTCGTAAAAATTCACATTTTTACCTGGTATCATTACTATTTGAAAGCTATTCATAAACACATGCTCATGATATAGTTGGAATTGTACAATCGACTCGCTTTATTGTCACCTGGCAATAAACAGTTACATTCACTGGGAAAACAATCTGTATTAAGGATGAGTTAGCTGATATTGCTGATCTGTCTACATTTACTGTACTGGACGATATCTCTTGATAACAGAAACTTGAATTACCAATTGTAACCAACCCTGAAATATTGGGCCTTATGCATGAAAAATCACATTTTGAAATTTCATTATAACTTAAAACTACAGCATCTTCAGAACACAAAAATAAATTTACAAGCTTAAGGTCATATTTATAACAGAGATACATGACATCATGCATTGCGATCTTCACTGAAGTAAGTTGACGTCAAACGCCTTTATGACATCATAGCACAATTGTATCCTAGCACCCATACAGTCCCTTTTCTCCTGGTGGATCCCAATTGGTTTTTGTGAGCAGCTGGGAATTAGGGGTAGTCATATAAAATTTACTTCATGAATAAGCGTAAATAATGTTGTAAGTGAGATGAAATATAAATGAAGGGGGTGAAAGTATAATGGGTAATGTATGGACACCAAACCCCTCATTTTTAGTGTAACAAAAGTTTGAATGCAGAAGAAGCATAAAAAGAGAATTGTTATGTAGTGAGTGAGTGAGTGAGTTTGGTTTTACGCCGCTTTTAGCAATATTCCAGCAATATCACGGCGGGAGCACCAGAAATGGGCTTCACACATTGTACCCATGTCGGGATTCGGCGTGACGAGCGAATGCTTTAACCACTAGGCTACCCGACCGCCCCGAATTGTTATGTAAGTTAAGTAAGTTGAAGGTTAGGTGAAAAAAGAGACAGGAGGTATTGTTAGGACTTCACAAACAAAAATACAAAATTAACATTACAATGAACATTAATTCACAACATACTGAAATAAAACAGCTAATGAATAAAACATGATCAATATATACAGAACTACTCTCTATCACATTAAATTCTTGTTTAAGTTGTGTATGCCGGAAACAAAATGTCCTAAAAAATACTACAATATGCTTCTGCAGGTATTAGCCGATTGTAAGATTAATTGGGCATCGAAAATGAAACTTTAATGTGTTATGTTGGTTTCAGTTATGTGTGGGAAATATGCACTGTATTATTATTATATGATGTTTGTTTGGATTTTATCAGAGTTTGTACTTAGACTAAAGTGTTCATATGAACAACACTGGAATGCTACGTTGTTTTGCACATCAAAAACAAAACACAAAACCTATTTCAAAATTGCATTTGGTGGTGAGCCCTATTTAACATGTATAACTCTTTCTAAATTCAGACTTGCACTAGCAAGATTTTGTTGCAGTTTGTTCAATCTACAAATTGAGATGGGTCATATTTACAACATACCTAGAGAAGAGAGGTGGTATAAGTAGAAGATGAATATTTTTTATTAGAATGTGAAAAATATGATTTGCAAGAAATATATATAAACATGTACCATGTAGTGCAACCATCTCTTTTATTATTTTTATGTTCTCTTAACAACATCAAATGTAAACACCATCAAACACAAAACAATGTTTGTCTACCATGCAAACCGTTTGAGTTTTTGTCTGTTTCATTCCCACACAATAGATTGTCTGGTGGATACGATATAACTTGTCAACCACAGTACATCAATGTTTTATACATGTAATAATGGACCACCATTACGAATATGGGCCGATAGATTCTTCTTGAATAAAGACTATATACCATAATGATTTCTTAAAGATTGGGAGAATGTGGGGATGGGGTAGCCTTGTGGTTAAGGCGTTCGCTTGTCATGCTAAAGGTCTGGGTACGCTTCCCCACATGGGTACAATATGTGAAGCCAATGCCTGGTGTCCTCTTGCTAAAAGAGGCGTATAGTCACTCACTCACTCACTCACTCACTCACTCACTCACTCACTCACTCACTCACTCACTCACTCACTCACTCACTCACTCACTCACTCACTCACTCACTCACTCACTCACTCACTCACTCACTCACTCACTCACTATATATTCCAGTTGAATTAAAGGAGCATATTATTTCATTACATTAATTCTTTTGTTCTCAGCTGAAACAGAGCTGAAAATCCGCTCAATGGATGACAGCAAGCACGTGTCAACACACGCAGAGGATGCTGCCTACAAGCATCTGACGGAACAAGGTTGTGTGGTCATCAGGGGGAGATCAGGATCTGGGAAATCCCACATGGGCTACACTCTGTTACAGAGGGCATCGAAGGAGTTCTCACGGAAACCAGTAAAGATATCATCACCTGATGAATGGAACTATCTACCCAAATCCAGTCTTGACAGTATTCATATATCTGAATATTTTGCTGACAAATTCATAGTCATGATTGACGATATTTTCGGATCTACTAATCTGATCCAACACAATCTGGACCAGTGGAGACAGAAGTTTGACCTTGTGTGGCCTCAGGTGGAATCTGGACAAATCTGGTTAGTGATGACATCAAGATCAGAAATAATTACACAAACAGAATCAACCTTACATAGGTATGACATATTTACATCTTCAAGAAGTATCAAATTGGATGAAAAATTACACGGTCTCACAGAAGAAGAGAAAATAGAGTTTTTGGACACGCTGTGTGGAAATCATATAACATATGTGGAAAAAACTTTGATAGCAATGACAGACACGGCTCTAGGCTTTCCACAATGTTGTAAATATTTTGCTTCACATAAACACATAAAGGAAAGTGGTTACAATTTCTTCCGCAAGCCCTTTGAAATTATCAAAGAAGAGATTAAGTCTCTGAAAAGGAGTCAACGAGATAGCTATTGTATGTTGCTTATGGTTGTGGCATATGATGGACAGCTTCCAAAAAGACTTGTGAAAACAATTAGTCCTCCTGAAGAGTTTACAAGTCGATGTAAGCAAATGATGAAAGCTTCTGGTTTGAAGGAGGAACCAAATATGAAGGAGATTCTTCAAGCTTTGTGTTGTGTTTACCTTGTCAGCGATGGGAATTGTTATCAGTTCTCACACAGGTCAATACATGATGTCTTGTTTGTGGATTTATGTGAGTCATTCCCCGATTTGGGAATAGACATGTGCACGCCATCTATGTTAGTCGAATATATTTGGACTCTTACAGATATTAAATGTGATATGAGAAATGTGTTTGTTTTGGAAAAAGATTATTATCCAACATTGGCAAAAAAACTGAGAGAATATTTGACGAACAAGGACAGTCGATACATTGTATTGTCCCATCCTTCTCTAAACGATGGAAATATTTTCCGAGAGATATTTGGAGGATGTGATATTAAGATGATGTCATTGCAAAGAAAAGAGAACAAGTGGATTGTTGAAACAGACTATGATGTAAGATATAGGTTCTGCAAAGTATGTTCAAACAATGATCAGGAGATTGGAAAGTGTGCAGGCATTACGTATGGTTATTTCCTATCTCATACCATAATGAATGGTATGGTTATGTTTGCTGAATACATCATTCACCAAGTCAGTTCTGCCACTGATGCTGAAACCCAGTCTATGCTTAACGAAGCCTTAGTGTGTTCTGTTTACGTGGGCCAAAACCACTTAGTTGATGTATTGCTCAGAATGGGAGTACTACCATCTTGGAAATGTCTTCATGTTCTGAGTACTTCACCAGGATTGAATCCTCAAACTTCCTTAAAGTTGATAAAAATTATCAAACTAAAACCAGATAGCCTGAAACAGCTTTTCCACACTTCTGTTAAGCATTACAATGTGACCTTCCTCGAAAGTATAATTGAAATGTGCACTGAAAATATGTATAATCACAAAAATGTTTACAGAAAAGCCATTGAAGGTCTAATTACAGAACTAAATACATCAGCAAGATATAGAGATATATTGAGCACACTTTCCAGAGCGGTGGAAGTCATGTCACTTCTTCACAAGGCAGGTGGAATCATGGATCTTGATGAAATTTTGACTCTCGCATCTTGCAAAAATGCCCCAGATACGCTGATAGAATTCATCTATGTGGTTTTTCAAATTCCCCCTTCTAATTGCGATGAAATGAAGTCGAGTTTGTGTCACGGAAAGAAGTTCCATCAACTTTTAAGATCTTTGATTGACAGAGAGGCTCCAGTACAAATGAAGGACGAAACTGTGAAAACTCTTCTCCATAAAGCAGCATCGAATCAATGCAAGCAATGTGTCAACATGTTGCTTTCTGATGTGGAAGGAACTGATAGTGATGGTAACACAGCCTTACACTGCTTGATAAAATCTGATGAAAATCACAATCATGAAGTGTTGGAAATACTAATTGAAAAGACAAATTACAGACAATGCAACAAATGTGATGAGTTGCCACTACATCCTGATGAACCTTATCAAAAACATTTTTACCAAGAAACATGTCAACGCTTTTTTGACAAGAAGGCAAGTATTCATATCAAGAACAATCTAGGAAAGACAGTTCTGCACTTGGCAGCTGAGGCAAAGTGCAAAAAATGTCTGGAAATGTTGCTACCAATGTTAGATATAAATGATCAGGATAAGGCGGGGAATACTACACTGCACTGTCTGACTCACTTTAAACGATATGGTGATTTTGTAAAGAGTAAATGTTCAGACCATGAAACATATCAGCTCTTACTTGACAAGGGGCCAGATGTCCATATCAAGAACAAGGCAGGACAGACAGTCCTGCACTTGGCAGCTTGGGCAAATTGTAAAAAATGTGTGGAAATGTTGCTACCGATGTCAGATATAAATGATCAGGATGAGAAGGGGAACACTGCATTACACCATCTCACTCACCATTTCGCTTTCTATAGATACTATTATGGTAAAAGAAGTAGGTGTTTAGACCATGAAACATATCAGCTCTTTCTTGACAAGGGGGCAGATGTGCAGATCAAGAACAATGAAGGACAGACAGTTCTGCAGTTGGCAGCGAGGGCAAATTGTAAAAAATGTGTGGAAATGTTGTTACTGATGTTTGACATAAATGATCAGGATGAGGCAGGGAACACTGCACTACACTATCTGCATCACCAAGGATTACATTTTAAGCGAATAAGTGGAGGTGATTGCCATAAAACCTTTCAGCTCCTTCTTGACAAGGGGGCTGATGTTCAAATTAAGAACAAGGAAGGAAAGACAGTTCTGCACGGGGCAGCTGAGACACATTGTCACAAATGTGTGGAAATGTTGCTACCGATGTTTGACATAAATCTTCAGGATGAGGGAGGGAACACTGTACTACACAATCTGCATTGTCAAAAATCATATTTTTTTGAAAGGAGTGAATGTGTTTGTCATAAAACTTGTCAGCTCTTTCTTGACAAAGGGGCTGATGTGAAAATCAAGAACAAGAAAGGACAGACAGTTCTGCACTTGGCAGCTGAAACACTTTGTAACAAATGTGTGAAAATATTGCTTCCGATGTTTGACATAAATGATCGGGATGAGGCAGGGAACACTGCACTACACTATCTCACTCACTGTGAAATACCTTTTAATGAAAGGAGTAACTTTGTTTGCTTTGAAACATATCAGCTCTTTCTTGACAAGGGGGCTGATGTGAAAATCAAGAACAAGGAAGGACAAACAGTTTTGCACTTGGCAGCTGAGGCAAATTGTAAACATATTGTGGAAATGCTGCTCCCCATGTTTGACATAAATGATCAGGATGAGGCAGGGAACACTGCACTACACTATCTGCACTGCCAAGATTCACATTTCAATAGAAGGGAATGTTTACATTGTGAAATATATTTGCTCTTTCTTGACAAGGGGGCTGATGTGAAAATCAAGAACAAGGAAGGACAGACAGTTCTGCACTTGGCAGCTGAGGCAAACTGTAAAAGATCTTTGGAAATGTTGCTACCGATGTTTGACATAAATGTTCAGGATGACATGGGGAAAACTGCTCTACACTATCTCACTCACAATGATTCAAATGTTGAGGAATCTGTGTTTGATAGAAAAAGTAAATGTTTAGACCATGAAACATATCAGCTCTTTCTTGACAAGGGGGCTGATGTGCAAATCAAGAACAAGGAAGGACAGACAGTCCTGCACTTGGCTGCTAAGGCAAATTGTAACAAATGTGTGGAAATGTTGCTACCAATGTTTGACATAAATGATCAGGATGAGGCAGGAAACACTGCACTACACTATCTGCATTGCCAAGAATCATATTTTTATGGAGTAAGTAAATCTGTTTGTCATAAAACATATCAGTTCTTTCTTGACAAGGGGGCTGATGTGAAAATCAAGAACAAGGAAGGACAGACAGTCCTGCACTTGGCAGCAAAAGCAAATTGTAAACATATTGTGGAAATGTTGCTACCGATGTTTGACATAAATGATCAGGATGAGGCAGGGAACACTGCACTACACTATCTGCACCGCCAAGATTCACATTTCCATAGAAGGGAATGTTTACACCGTGAAATATATCTGCTCTTTCTTGACAAGGGGGCTGATGTGAAAATCAAGAACAAGGAAGGACAGACAGTTCTGCACTTGACAGCTGAGGCAAACTGTAAAAGATCTTTGGAAATATTGCTGCCGATGTTTGACATAAATGTTCAGGATGACGTGGGGAAAACTGCTCTACACTATCTCACTCACAATGATTCAAATGTTGAGGAATCTGTGTTTGATAGAAGAAGTAAATGTTTAGACCATGAAACATATCAGCTCTTTCTTGACAAGGGGGCTGATGTGCAAATCAAGAACAAGGAAGGACAGACAGTCCTGCACTTGGCTGCTAAGGCAAATTGTAAAAAATGTGTGGAAATGTTGCTACCGATGTCAGATATAAATGATCAAGGTGAGAAGGGGAACACTGCATTACACTATCTCACTCACCATTTCGCTTTCTATAGATACTATCGTGGTAAAAGAAGTAGATGTTTAGACCATGAAACATATCAGCTCTTTCTTGACAAGGGGGCAGATGTGCAGATCAAGAACAATGAAGGACAGACAGTTCTGCAGTTGGCAGCAAGAGCAAGTTGTAAAAAATGTGTGGAAATGTTGTTACCGATGTTTGACATAAATGATCAGGATGAGGCAGGGAACACTGCACTGCACTATCTGCATCACCAAGGATTACATTTTAAGCGAATAAGTGGAGGTGATTGCCATAAAACCTTTCAGCTCCTTCTTGACAAGGGGGCTGATGTTCAAATTAAGAACAAGGAAGGAAAGACAGTTCTGTACGGGGCAGCTGAGACACATTGTCACAAATGTGTGGAAATGTTGCTTCCGATGTTTGACATAAATGTTCAGGATGAGGGAGGGAACACTGTACTTCACCATCTGCATTGTCAAAAATCATATATTTTTGAAAGGAGTGAATGTGTTTGTCATAAAACTTGTCAGCTCTTTCTTGACAAAGGGGCTGATGTGAAAATCAAGAACAAGAAAGGACAGACAGTTCTGCATTTGGCAGCTGAAACACTTTGTAACAAATGTGTGAAAATGTTGCTTCCGATGTTTGACATAAATGATCGGGATGAGGCAGGGAACACTGCACTACACTATCTCACTCACTGTGAAATGCCTTTTTATGTAACGAGTAACTTTGTTTGCTTTGAAACATATCAGCTCTTTCTTGACAAGGGGGCTGATGTGAAAATCAAGAACAAGGAAGGACAGACAGTCCTGCACTTGGCAGCAAAAGCAAATTGTAAACATATTGTAGAAATGTTGCTTCCGATGTTTGACATAAATGATCAGGATGAGGCAGGGAACACTGCACTACACTATCTGCACCGCCAAGATTCACATTTCAATAGAAGGGAATGTTTACACCGTGAAATATATTTGCTCTTTCTTGACAAGGGGGCTGATGTGAAAATCAAGAACAAGGAAGGACAGACAGTTCTGCACTTGGCAGCTGAGGCAAACTGTAAAAGATCTTTGGAAATATTGCTACCGATGTTTGACATAAATGATCAGGATGACATGGGGAAAACTGCTCTACACTAACTCACTCACAATGATTCAAATGTTGAGGAATCTGTGTTTGATAGAAAAAGTAAATGTTTAGACCATGAAACATATCAGCTCTTTCTTGACAAGGGGGCTGATGTGCAAATCAAGAACAAGGAAGGACAGACAGTCCTGCACTTGGCTGCTAAGGCAAATTGTCACAAATGTGTGGAAATGTTGCTACCGATGTTTGACATAAATGTTCAGGATGAGGCAGGAAACACTGCACTACACTATCTGCATTGCCAAGAATCATATTTGTATGGAGTAAGTAAATCTTTACATTTTAAGCGAATAAGTGGAGGTGATTGCCATAAAACCTTTCAGCTCCTTCTTGACAAGGGGGCTGATGTTCAAATTAAGAACAAGGAAGGAAAGACAGTTCTGCACGGGGCAGCTGAGACACATTGTCACAAATGTGTGGAAATGTTGCTACCGATGTTTGACATAAATGTTCAGGATGAGGGAGGGAACACTGTACTACACAATCTGCATTGTCAAAAATCATATTTTTTTGAAAGGAGTGAATGTGTTTGTCATAAAACATATCAGCTCTTTCTTGACAAGGGGGCTGATGTGCAAATCAAGAACAAGGAAGGACAGACAGTCCTGCACTTGGCAGCTGAGGCAAATTGTAAACATATTGTGGAAATGCTGCTCCCATGTTTGACATAAATGATCAGGATGAGGCAGGGAACACTGCACTACACTATCTGCACAGCCAAGATTCACATTTCAATAGAAGGGAATGTTTACACCGTGATATATATCTGCTCTTTCTTGACAAGGGGGCTGATGTGAAAATCAAGAACAAGGAAGGACAGACAGTTCTGCAATGAAACATATCAGCTCTTTCCTGACAAAGGGGCAGATGTGCACATCAATAACAAGGAAGGACAGACAGTTCTACACTTTGCACCCAAGGCAAATTGTAACAAATGTGTTGCTACCGATGTTTAACATAAATGATCAGGATAAGGCAGGGAACACTGCACTGCACTGCACTACCTGCATTGCCAATGATTACATTTTTATCAAACAAAGGAGTGAATGTGTGTGCTATGAAACGTGTCAGCTCTTTCTTAACAAGGGGGCAGATGTGCACATCAAAAACATGAAAAAACGCATCTTCCTTAATTTGAATAATGCAAACAAGGTCATTGATGCTTTAAAATTTGTAACAAATGTTTTGAAGTTTTGCTACTGATGTTTGACATAAATGATCAGGATGAGGCAGGAAGCACTGCACTACACTGTCTCTCTCACTATGAATCATCTTTTATTGAGAGGAGTAACTTAGTTTGCTGTGAAACATTTCAGCTTTCTCTTGACAAGGGGGCCGTGAAAATCCAGAACAAGAAAAGACAGACAGTTTTGCAATTGGCAGCTGAGGCAATTTGTAAAAAAATGCGGAAATGTTGCTATTGATATTTGTCATAAATGATCAGGATGAGGCAGTGAACACTGCACTGCACTGCACTTATGAGAAATCAGATGTTGAGGAATACTATCTTGATAGAAGGAGAACATGTTTAGACATGGACACATTGTACATTGTAACTGTATTGAGAGGAGTAACGTTGACACTTTGTACATAGAAGCATTGTAACTGTATTGAGGCGAGTAAAGTTGACACTTGGTACATAGATGAATTGTAACTGTACTGACAAGAGTAAAGTTGACACTTTCTACATAGATGCATTGTAACTGTATTGATGGGATTAAAGTTTGCACTTTGTTAATAGATGCCTTGTAACTGTATTGAGGGGAGTAAAGTTGACACTTTGTACATAGATGCATTGTAACTGTATTGACAAGAGTAAAGTTGACACTTTGTACATAGATGAATTGTAACTGTATTGATGGGAGTAAAGTTTGCACTTTGTTCATAGATGCATTGTAACTGTATTGAGGGGAGTAAAGTTGACACTTTGTGCATAGATTCATTGTAATTGTATTGAGCGGAGTGCATTGTAAGTGTATTGAGAGGAGTAAAGTTGACACTTTGTACATGGATGAATTGTAACTGTATTGAGTGGATTAAAGTTGACACTTTGTACATAGATGAATTGTAACTGTATTGAGTGGAGTAAAGTTAACACTTTGTACATGAAGCATTGTAACTGTATTGAGGGGAGTAAAGTTTGCACTTTGTTCATAGATGCATTGTAACTGTATTGAGAGGAGTAAAGTTGACACTTTGTACATGGATGCATTGTAACTGTATTGAGGGGATTAAAGTTGACACTTTGTACATGGATGCATTATAACTGCATTGAGGGGAGTTAAGTTGACACTTTGTACATAGATGTATTGTAACTGTATTGAGTGGAGTAAAGTTAACACTTTGCATTGTACATGAAGCATTGTAACTGTATTGAGGGGAGTAAAGTTTGCACTTTGTTCATAGATGCATTGTAACTGTATTGAGCGGTGTGCATTGTAACTGTATTGAAGGGAGTAAACTTGACACTTTGTACATAGGTGCATTGTAACTGTATTGACAGGAGTAAAGTTGACTCTTTGTACATATATGCATTGTAACTGTATTGAGTGAGTGAGTGAGTGAGTATGGTTTTACGCCGCTTTTAGCAATATTCCAGCAATATCACGGCGGGGGACACCAGAAATGGGCTTCACACATTGTACCCGGGTCTTCGGCGTGACGAGCGAATGCTTTAACCACTAGGCTACCCGACCGCCCCGTAACTGTATTGAGCGGTGTGCATTGTAACTGTATTGAAGGGTGTAAACTTGACACTTTGTACATGGATGCATTGTAACTGTATTGAGAGGAGTAAAGTTTCCACTTTGTTCATAGATGCATTGTAACTGTATTGAGCGGAGTGCATTGTAACTGTATTTAGAGGTGTAAAGTTGACACTTTGTTCATAGATTCATTGTAACAGTATTGACAGGAGTAAACTTGACACTTTGTACATGGATGCATTGTAACTGTATTGAGAGGAGTAAAGTTGACACTTTGTACATAGATGTATTGTACCTGTATTGAGGGGAGTAAAGTTTGTACTTATTATATAGATGCATTGTAACTGTATTTAGGGGAGTAAAGTTGACACTTTGTACATAGATGCATTGTAACTGTATTGAGAGGAGTAAAGTTGACATTTTGTACATAGCTGAATTGTAAGTGTATTGAGAGGAGTAAAGTTGACACTCTGTACATAGATGTATTGTAACTGTATTGAGGGGAGTAAAGTTGACACTTTGTACATAGATGAATTGTAACTACTGACAACAGTAAAGTTAACACTTTGTACATATATGGATTGTAACTGTATTGAGGGGAGTAAAGTTTACACTTTGTACATAGGTGTATTGTAAGTGTATTGAGGGGGGTAAAGTTGACACTTTGTACATAGATGTATTGTAACTGTATTGAGGGGAGTAAAATTTGCACTTTGTACATAGATGCATTGTAACTGTGTTGAGAGGAGTAAAGTTGACACTTTGTACATAGATGTATTGTAATTGTATTGACAGGAGTAAAGTTTGAACTTTGTACATAGATGCATTGTTACTGTATTGAGAGGAGTAAAGTTGACACTTTGTACATAGATGAATTGTAACTACTGACAACGGTAAAGTTAACACTTTGTACATATATGGATTGTAACTGTATTGAGGGGAGTAAAGTTTACACTTTGTACATAGGTGTATTGTAACTGTATTGAGAGGAGTAAAGTTGACACTTTGTACATAGCTGAATTGTAAGTGTATTGAGGGGGGTAAAGTTGACACTTTGTACATAGATGTATTGTAACTGTATTGAGGGGAGTAAAATTTGCACTTTGTACATAGATGCATTGTAACTGTGTTGAGAGGAGTAAAGTTGACACTTTGTACATAGATGTATTGTAATTGTATTGACAGGAGTAAAGTTTGAACTTTGTACATAGATGCATTGTTACTGTATTGAGAGGAGTAAAGTTGACACTTTGTACATAGATGAATTGTAAGTGTATTGAGAGGAGTAAAGTTGACACTTTGTACATAGATGAATTGTAACTGTATTGAGTGGAGTAAAGTTTGAACTTTGTACATAGATGCATTGTTACTGTATTGAGAGGAGTAAAGTTGACACTTTGTACATAGATGAATTGTAACTGTATTGAGTGGAGTAAAGTTGACACTTTGTACATAGATGAATTGTAACTGTATTGAGTGGAGTAAAGTTAACACTTTGTTCATGAAGTATTGTAACTGTATTGAGGGGAGTAAAGTTTGCACTTTGTTCATAGATGCATTGTAACTGTATTGAGAGGAGTAAAGTTGACACTTTGTACATGGATGCATTGTAACTGTATTGAGGGGATTAAAGTTGACACTTTGTACATGGATGCATTATAAATGCATTGAGGGGAGTTAAGTTGACACTTTGTACATAGATGTATTGTAACTGTATTGAGTGGAGTAAAGTTAACACTTTGCATTGTACATGAAGCATTGTAACTGTATTGAGGGGAGTAAAGTTTGCACTTTGTTCATAGATGCATTGTAACTGTATTGAGCGGTGTGCATTGTAACTGTATTGAAGGGAGTAAACTTGACACTTTGTACATAGGTGCATTGTAACTGTATTGACAGGAGTAAAGTTGACACTTTGTTCATAGATGCATTGTTACTGTATTGAGAGGAGTAAAGTTGACACTTTGTACATAAATGAATTGTAAGTGTATTGAGGGGAGTAATGTTGACACTTTGTTCATGGATGCATTGTAGCTGTACTGACAAGAGTAAAGTTGACACTTTCTACATAGATGCATTGTAACAGTATTGAGGGGAGTAAAATTGACTCTTTGTACACGGATGTATTGTAACTAAATTGAAGGGAGTAATGTTATCACTTTGTACATAGATGCATTGTAACTGTATTGATAGAAGCAAAGTTAACACTTTGTACATAGATGCATTGTAACTGTATTGAGGGGAGTAAAGTTTGCACTTTGTTCATAGATGCATTGAAACTTTGTACATGGATGCATTGTAACTGTATTTAGAGGAGTAAAGTTGACACTTTGTACATAGATGTATTGTACCTGTATTGACAGGAGTAAAGTTTGTACTTATTATATAGATGCATTGTAACTGTATTTAGGGGAGTAAAGTTGACACTTTGTACATAGATGCATTTTAACTGTATTGAGAGGAGTAAAGTTGACATTTTGTACATAGCTGAATTGTAAGTGTATTGAGAGGAGTAAAGTTGACACTCTGTACATAGATGTATTGTAACTGTATTGAGGGGAGTAAAGTTGACACTTTGTACATAGATGAATTGTAACTACTGACAACAGTAAAGTTAACACTTTGTACATATATGGATTGTAACTGTATTGAGGGGAGTAAAGTTTACACTTTGTACATAGGTGTATTGTAAGTGTATTGAGGGGGGTAAAGTTGACACTTTGTACATAGATGTATTGTAACTGTATTGAGGGGAGTAAAATTTGCACTTTGTACATAGATGCATTGTAACTGTGTTGAGAGGAGTAAAGTTGACACTTTGTACATAGATGTATTGTAATTGTATTGACAGGAGTAAAGTTTGAACTTTGTACATAGATGCATTGTTACTGTATTGAGAGGAGTAAAGTTGACACTTTGTACATAGATGAATTGTAACTACTGACAACAGTAAAGTTAACACTTTGTACATATATGGATTGTAACTGTATTGAGGGGAGTAAAGTTTACACTTTGTACATAGGTGTATTGTAACTGTATTGAGAGGAGTAAAGTTGACACTTTGTACATAGCTGAATTGTAAGTGTATTGATGGGGGTAAGTTGACACTTTGTACATAGATGTATTGTAACTGTATTGAGGGGAGAATAAATTTGCACTTTGTACATAGATGCATTGTAACTGTGTTGAGAGGAGTAAAGTTGACACTTTGTACATAGATGTATTGTAATTGTATTGACAGGAGTAAAGTTTGAACTTTGTACATAGATGCATTGTTACTGTATTGAGAGGAGTAAAGTTGACACTTTGTACATAGATGAATTGTAAGTGTATTGAGAGGAGTAAAGTTGACACTTTGTACATAGATGAATTGTAACTGTATTGAGTGGAGTAAAGTTTGAACTTTGTACATAGATGCATTGTTACTGTATTGAGAGGAGTAAAGTTGACACTTTGTACATAGATGAATTGTAACTGTATTGAGTGGAGTAAAGTTGACACTTTGTACATAGATGAATTGTAACTGTATTGAGTGGAGTAAAGTTAACACTTTGTTCATGAAGTATTGTAACTGTATTGAGGGGAGTAAAGTTTGCACTTTGTTCATAGATGCATTGTAACT